GGCTATAAGAATAGTCCATTATGGCTCATTTATTAGGAAAAAATCTGCAGACATGTATATTTTACAGTAACTGAAATAACCATTAGACGCCAAAACACACACTCATGTTTTGATAGAATATACTTAAGAGCGATCTGAAGTTGATATTTTCCTATGAAAAATGTTTCGCTGAAATCATTTCCATACCAAAAATTCTTAGGGTATATAAGGAATAATATTGTTCAACATTGAAAAATTGTCAGCCTTAAAGATGTCTACATTTTACTACAATAGAAATAGAAATAATCTTGTCGGACCCTGGCATGCCACTGAAAATCGTTTGAAATGAATTTTATGCAGACGAATTGTCAACACTTATTATTTTTACCTTCCCATCTATTTTCAGGAAATTCCTCCTCACATAACATTATTTGCGGTTTGACAAATGAAAAGTTTTGCAATTGAAATTTGTGGTCAATTCAATTAGCAAAGATTTCAGCAAATTTCTCGAATTCTTAAAAGAAATAGTTTAGATTTGTGTTTGCTTTTTAAAATTCGATAAGTTTATTTTTGCCTCTGATTCAATTGTTTTGCAATTTTCTCCCTGCCTGCCTGCATTTGCATTCCTTTCTTCCATCTCTTTTGGAGGACAGAGAAAATAAATAAAAACTTCCATATGAATGCCATTGCAATTAGTTTATTAAAATTGATTTGCAAAATTTTAATCTTTTTTAAGTATTTCACACAGTATGACCATGGACGTGCTTCTTTCTCTCCACTCCGCATGCCCCCCGGCTACTGACCCACTAAAAACTTTAGCAGCAGCAACATCATCATCGTCGTCATCGATATAAACAACGGCAGGCAAAGTCAATGCCAAAGAAAATCGGTGTGTTTGTGTGCGGATTTAAGACCTTCGCCATGTAGGTTATTGTTTTGTTTTTTTTTTTTTTTTTTTTTTTTTCAATAAAACTTTTCAATGCTAATTTAATTTTTCCCAGAAAAACTGAGTACATGATGGTATTTATTATTTGTATAATTCTTTTTAAATTTGTTAAAAAAATATATATCAAATACCCACTTAGATTCTTCAATGTTAATGTACTTCTTTAAAAGGCTGAGCTAACTAAAATTAAAGCCCATATTTCAAAATTAATTGATAAGTGGCAGGTGAGATGCACTGAAACCTCATTAAAATAAATAACATCTAAAAGACAGGATTAAAAGTGACATCTATATATAAGAGTAGTCAATTAACTGACTGCCTGAGAATCAATGCCCAGACGCAACGGCTGAAGCCAGAATCTTAAAATTTTGCTCGAGGACCAGTTTTGTTGCGCAGGCAAGGTATTTGAAATTCGTACTAAAAGGGTACGAAAAGTTCTAAAAATTGAATATTTTGTGTTGGACAAATGGAACGATCTAGAATTGTGAAATTTAGGATGGGAGTCACTGATAGAGTGCTGGATAGATGTACCAAATGGTTTTTGGGAATTCGAACTTAAGATTACGAAAAGTTCTAAAATAATATTAAACTTATAAAATGGTACCTTTTTGTATTATATGAATGAAAAGAGCTTGGCATTTTGAAGATCAAGGTTTGGAGAATCAAGGTTGGAAAGTAAGTCTGATATATGAAGGTGGTATTGGAAATGTGTGCTTAGTGTGCAAACTGTACTAAATGGTACCAAATTTTTAGAATGTTTAGGGTGAACGAATGAAGCTGCAATTTTGAATTCTTTGAGTCCCTTTTGGTGGTAGGTTTGTGATACAGGTGGTTTTAAAAATATGTGCTACAAGTGCACGAAAAGTACTAAGTAGTACTAAGTTTGGTACAATTTGGTATTGGTTGAGGTGATAGTGTTTGCAGTCAAAATTTGGTATTTGGGTGTGTAGCCTGGACATATAAAAGTCGTTTTGGAAATGTGTACCAAAATTGTACGAAAATTACTGAATGGTACTATGTTTAGTATTGGGTGAAGGGATAGAGATAAAATTCTGAAATTTAATATTTAGATTACTGATGATGATGTGTGTGTGTGTGTTTGAGATTAGGCTTTGGTTTGGAAATGTGTCATATATTTGTTCGAAAAGTTCTAAATTCAATATTGGGTGAAGGCATGACAGTGGTTTGGAAATGCGTCCTATAGTAGTACGAAAAGTACTAAGTAGTACTAAATTTAGTATTTGGGGAAGGAATAGAGTTGAAATCTTCAAATTTGATATTGAGGTCTCTGTTTGTGTCTGTGATTGAGGTTTGGCGGTGGTTTGAAAATATATCCTACATTTGTACGAAAAGTACTAAATAGTGCCAAATTTTAAATTGGGTGAAGTTATAGGTCTAGAACCCCGAAATTTGTTATTATTGTTACCATGTGAAATTGAGATTTGGATGTGCTTTTGGAAATTTGTACTATAATGGTACGAAGAGTACTAAATAGCACAAAATTTGGTATTTGATGAAGGAATACAGCTAAGATTCCGAAATTTTATATTTAGATTACTGATGATATCAGTGTTTGAGATTTGGCGATGGTTTGGAAATGCGTCCTATATTTGTACGAAAAGTACTAAGTAGTACTAAATTTAATATTTGGGGAAGGAATAGAGCTGGAATCCTCAAATTTGATATTGAGGTGAAAATGCGTCCCATATTTGTACGAAAAGTACTAAATAGTATTAAATTTTAAATTGGGTGAAGGAATAGGGCTGGAATCCCAAAATTTGTTATTATTGTTGCCATGTAAAATTGAGATTTGGATGTGCTTTTGGAAATTTGTACTATAATGGTACGAAGAGTACTAAATAGCACCAAATTTGGTATTTGGTGAAGGAATAGAGCTGAGATCCCGAAATTTGATACTTAGATTATTAAAAGTATCTGTGTTCTACATTTGGCTCTGGTTTGGAAATGTGTCCCATATTTGTACGAAAAGTACTAAATAGTTTTAAATTTGGTATTAGGTGAAGGGATGCAGCTGGAATCCCGAAATGTGATATCCGGGTCTCTGTTTTTATCTGTGGTTAAGATATGGAGTTGGTTTTGGAGATGTGTACTATAATCGTGCGAAAAGTACTAAATTGGGTATTTGGTGACGGAATCCTCAACTTTTATATTGAAGTCTCTGTTGGTATGTGGAATTGAGATTTGGAGGTGGTTTTGGAAAAGTATTGGGTGAAGGGATAAGCCAGAAATTCTCAAAGTTGATATTAAAGTCACTGTTGGTATCTGTGGTTAAGGTATGGATTTGGTTTTGGAAATGTGTACTATAATTGTACGAAGAGTACGAAATGGTACTAAATTTGGTATTAGCTGTATCCCTTCACAGCTGGAATCCCGAAATGTGATATCCGGGTCTCCGTTGTTATCTGTGGTTAAGATATGGAGTTGGTTTTGGAGATGTGTACTATAATTGTACGAAAATTACTAAATTGGATATTTGGTGACGGAATCCTAAAGTTTTTTATATTGAAGTCTCTGTTGGTAACTGGAAATGAGATTTGGAGGTGCTTTTGGAAAAGTACTTTTTGTGGAGTGAAGAAATAGAGCTGGAGTCACGAAATTTGATATAATGGTTACTAATGGTATCTGTAAGGTGGTGAGGTTTGGAGGTGGATTTGGAAATGCGTCATATATTTTTACGAAAAGTACCAAATGGTACTAAATTTGATATTGGGAGAAGGAATGGAGCTGGGATCCCAAAATTTGATATTTAAGTTATTGATAGTATATGTATTTGAGATATGGCGGTGGTTTCCTAATTTGTACGGAAAGTACTAATTAGTTCCTAATCTTTTATTGGATGAAGGAATAGAACTGTAATCCTGAAATTTGATATGAATGTCACTGTTGGTGTCTGTAGTTGAGAGAAGGGTGTGGTTTTGGAAATACGTACTATGAACGTACGAAAAGTGCAAAATGCACCCAAATGTGTCATTGGGTGTTGGGATAGAGATGGAATTCTGAAATATAGTATCGAGTTCACTATTGGTGTATGGATTTGAAATATGGAGATGGTTTTGGGAACGAGTACTATGATCGCTCGGAAAGTATTAAATGGTACCAAATTTGGTATTGGATGGAGGAATAGGGATGGAATTTTGAAATTTAAATTGAGGTACCTCTTGATCGGTAGGTGATCGGTACCATAATTGTACGAAAAGCTCCATAATTTGGTATTGGGTGGAGAAAGAGAGCGTGGATCCTCAACATTGTTTTTGGAGGTCTCTCTTGGTATCCGGAATTTAGGTATGGAGGTGGTTTGGAAATTCGTCCTCCATTTATATGAAAAGTACTAAATAGTAAAAAATGTGGTATTGGTCGCAGAAATATAGCTGGAATCTTCAAATTTTATATTGGTGTCTCTTTTCGTATCTGAAATCGAGATATGGAGATTTTGAAAAACGGACTATATTTGAACGAAAGGTACTGAATTTGGTATTGGATGAAAGGATAGAGCTGGAATCCTGAAGTTTTATATGAATATCACTGTTGGTCTATGTAGTTGAAAGTAGGATGTGGCTTTGGAAATGCGTACTATGAATGTACGAAAAGTACAAAATGCCACGAAATGTGCCATTGGGTGTTGGGATCGAGATGGAATTCTGAAATCTGAAAGTCCTAAAGTAAACTGTTATAACGAATCTATCGTTTGAAGGTGGACTTTTTCCCGGAATAATCAAACACAGCTGCATAAACAATAGATACTTATATAAGTTTCCAAACCATTTATTTAATATCTAATCAATTTTCATCATCTCCAGATTTTTTCAACCAAAAAAAATCTCTTCTCTCTCAGAACTGCTTATTTTTATAATTTTTATGTAACTTATATTCAGAACCTTTGTAAATTAAAAAATCCAATTTTTTATGCTTTCATTTCGGTGCGGTTCTAAAAAACTGACTTTTTTCATTATGTCATGCAATTGGATTTTCTAAAAACCCACTTCAAATTCCGTTCAAAACTTTTAACCAAAAATATTATTGTTTCCAAATTTGTTTTGTTTGTCATAAAACTTACCAACATTTCCTTCGCCGTTAGCCACATCGTTAAGGCCATAAACAATGAACAATAAGACTTGCAACCAAATCGCTATCGAATCAAGACCGCCAAAACGAAGTGACGGAGATCGCCACTTCCAGATTTTAAGCGACGTGGTGGCGGTGGTTGTTTTGGTCGTCGTCGTGGGGGTAATTAAAGGTTGCCGCCGAAGATGATGTTGCCTTGAAATGCCTTGCAAATGATTTTTGGCCACCTTGCCGAGCTGAGGTCGCAGTTTGATGGTGTGGTGATGTTGTTGCTGTTGGATTATGCTTTGCTGCTGCTGCTTCTTGGAGGGATAGAATTTTGAAAAAGTTTTCAGGGTATCTAATTCTTTGTGGCTGGTCGACGATTCATTACTGCCATGTCCGGATTTTGATGATACCAGTTGTTGTTGTTGTGATCGTAATCGCAATAGCGCATTGCTAGCCATGATAATTGGCCCACCTGGAAAGGGAAAGAACGAGAAGGAAAACATTATTATTTTTCTACGTTGGAACAGAAACTAATTAAGAAAATGTAAAATGCCATGGCACACAAATCTAAAATCTAAAGTTGTATTGAAAATGGGAAATACGTTTCAATTTCCGCAACGCAATGCCAATGACGCAGGGATGTGTTTCAATTTTTTTCTTTTCTTTTTTTATTTTGTATTCAAATTCGAACGGAAGTTGACAACAAGCAACGTTTTTTTTTTTTTTTTTCTTTACATCCATTTCGTGGAGGGTGAAAAAAAAGAAAAGCTTAGAATTTTCTCGGTTACTATTGTAAAATGAACCTGCCAAGCTCCCTGTTGTTTTGTAGTTTCTTTTGTTTGCCTTACTTACGCAATGTGTACACTGAGGGAGCTGGGAGCGAAAACAAGTGAATTTTGCTTTTAAGGATTCTGGTCCTTTGTTGAGTTTTATGCGCTTTTTCCCCCCAGTTATCGACAATGGAATAATCCAACACCAACACCACGACCAGCCATAACCGGGTAGTAGCTGCGTTACGTGCTGAGATTTCTTAACAACAACAGCAACAAAAACGTTGGGGAAATTGCATTTATTAAGTTTCCCTTTTAGCTTCTTTACAGTTTGCCATTGTTGGCGTCTTCCAGTAGCATGGGTTTTTGTTACTTGCCAAGCTTTTTGCGCCTGTTGCGGACTATATTTTTGCGTGGGTGCCTTTCGAAAAAAGTAATGAAGTTACTAATAGAATATTTTCCCCTAGAATGCACTTTTGTTTTTTTTTTTTAAACGACAGTATTGTGTTACAGTAAGGTCGAGCTTTGGGACCCCATGAGGACATATAAGAGAGGTTATAAATCATCTAAACGGAGAAGGGCCTCTATAGGTCTTTCATATGCATATCACTTTTTTTAGGTACAAAAAATACCTCCAAAAGTTATTCAATATAGAGAAGATCCTCGACAGACCTCCTACAGGTCTTATACAGGGTAAGATGAAAAAACTGCAACCAACCTCAGACTGCTGTCATGTGTAAGCCACTCGTCCGACAGCTGTTAAAATTATTCCAGTGACAGCGTATAATATTGTTTACAAGCGCACAAAAGCATTTTGGTGAGAATTTTCCAGAAAAAAACTTACTCTGGCTATAGTTAGAGACTCCAGCATTTAAATGTGAATAAATCTTTTGTGTCTCGTACCATCGCTCGTTACCGTGATACTGGTAGTGTAGCCCGACATCAAGGAAGTGGATGGAAGAAAACAGCGACGAGTAGAAATGGTTCGAAAAGTGAAGAAGCGACTTGATCGAAACCCGCGTTGCAGTGGCCGAAAAATGGCTCATGAGCTGAACATGTTGCAATATTCCATTCGGCAAATATTGAACAATGAGTTCGGGGTCAAGCCATTGAAATTCCAAAAAGTGCAAGAACTTCCATGCAGAGGACCTTTGATAGGTCCATACAGAGAACCCCTGTGACAGATCTTCCATACATAGACCACCTTCGACAGGTCTTCTATACAGAGAAGGCTTTTGGCAGGTCTTCCATACAGAGAAGGCTTTCGACAGGTCTACCATACAGAGAAGACATTTCACGGGTGTTATTTAAAAGAAGAACTTCGACAGGTCTTCCATACAAAAAAGACCTTCGACCGGCATTTTATGCATAGAAGACTTACACAGAGAAGACCTTTGACAAGATTTCTATGGAAAGGTGACCTTCGACAGATCTTCCATACCGAGAAGAACTTCGGCAGGTCTTCCATACCAAGAAGTCCTTTGGCAGGTCTTCCATGCCGAGAAGTCCTTCGGCAGGTCATCCATACCAAGATGACATTCGACAGGTCTTTCATACAGTAAAGAACTTCGACAAGTCTTCCATACAGTTAAGACCTTCGACAGGTCTTCAATACAGTAAAGACTTTAGACAGGTCTTCAATCTGGAGATGACAGGTCTTCTACACAGAGAAGACTTTCTACAGGTCTTCTATGCGGAGAACACCCTCTGCAGCCTTTCTATGCAGAAAATGCCTCCTACAGACCTTCTACAGGTCTTCTATACGGAGAGAACCTTCTACAGGCCCTCTATGCGAAAAAGGCCATCTACAGGTCTTATATGCGAAGTAGACCATCTACATGTATTCTATGCGAATACCATCTATAGGTCTTCTATGCAAAGAAGACCAAAAGACCATAGAAGACCTGCTGAACACCTCCCACTGATATTCTACATATAGAACACATTCCACCAAATAAATATAATACGTTATATAGAAAACCTTTCACAACTCCTCAAACCTAAATCTCCTTTGGTACATCTCATGTAGATTTCCGAACTTAATATACCATTCTTTCTACGTAGGATAATATAACTGAGGTTGAAGACAAAAGACATAATAAACCCCTTAAAATTAAATTTATATCACATTGTTAACTTCTCTCTTCCTCTCTCTCTCTCTCTCTCTATCTCTTTCTCTCCCCCACTCTCAGATACACTCCCTATTTTCCACTTTTTCTAGGAAACGCACACAAATTTACGAACAAATTTGGCAACTGATGGCCATTAAATCTAAATATGTTTTGCTTTTGTCCTTCCCCTCTAACAAATCCTTATTGAATTTTGATATCTCCTCCTCCTCTTTCTCCTCATTATGGTATGGAATCAACTTTGATTTTTCAATATGATAATGTTGTGGTCGAGGAATATTTGAGTTTTTTTCCTGGATGCAGCAAAAATGCCTTTTGGCTGTTTTGTTGCTGCTGCTGCTGCCATGGTTGCCATGATGATATTTTATTTCAATTATTTGTTCTCAAATACCGAGAACTTCATTAACATAAACCAGCGAGACGGAGAGAAAAAGAGTTGTGATTGGAAAAAACTGCGTATTTTGTGAATTTGACAAAAAGGACAAAGTTTTCACAAAATCCTCTCGGTAATGGGAGTAAAATTGCATTTTCGAGAATTTTGTTCACAATGTGGTGAAGTGTGAGTTCGTGGAAGATTCGTAAATCAAATCGAACGTATTTATGTCAAAAAACATCTGATTAGATTTTATTCTTGGTATATGCAGCACATTAGGAATTTTGTATTTGACACAGATCATCAGATTACAATCAGGGGGTGGAAATTTATGAAATTCGTTTGTGGAAAAAATCACAAAATTTTTGTCACACCATACACCATATGGGTTTTCTACTATATTCTAATACAGATTATGGAAGACATCAAAAGTCTCAATTTTACCTAAATGCCAGGAATTTATTTTAATTTAAAAGGTAATTTAAGGTTTAAAGTCGTACTTTATGAGAATTTGTGCAAAAATATCCAACAAAGCATCATTTTAGGAGGAGGACGTCAAGGACGAAAATATTTTTCATTAAATTTTACCATAATCTGCCAAAGAAAAGAAATCTCTATTTCCATTAGGTATCCAACAATATTTGCATGAATGTTCCCAAAAAACTTCTGTTTTTTATCAATCTTTCCTCTCTCTCGAGTTGATGCCTGAAAGTAACTTAAAATTAACTTTTAAGGTAGAAGGTGTCAGAAGAAGATATATTCTACACATCTAGGCTTAATAGCTTTTAAGAAAATAACATTCTGAATTTAAGTATTACAAGGAAAAATTATGTGATTATACATGGTGAGATGGAAAAAACTGGAACCAACTTCAGACTGCTGTCATTTCTGAGCCACTCGTCCGACAGCTGTTAAAATTATTCCAGCGACAGCTCATTATATTGCTTACAAGCGTACACAAGCATTTTGGTGAGAATTTTCCAGAAAAAAAGTTATTCGTGATGGAATTCGAGCGAAATAGTGTGCTTTATTTATATTTGGCTGGAAAACCACAAGTGGCTATCGTTAGAGCACTCCAGCATTTAAATGTTAATAAATCTTTTGTGTCTCGTACTCCAATATATACAGGGTGAGATGAAAAAAACTACCACCAACCTCAGACTGCTGTCATTTCTAAGGCACTCGTACGACAGATGTTCAAATTATTCCAGAGACAGCTCATTATATTGTTTACAAGCGTACAAAAGCATTTTGGTGAGAATTTTCCAGAAAAAAAAGTTATTCGTAATAGAATTCAGGCGTTATAGTGTGATTTTTCTATATTTGTCTCGAAAAACACAAGTGGCTATCGTTAGAACACTCCAGCATTTAAATGTGAATAAAACGTTTGTGTCTCATACCATCGCTCGTTACCGTGATACTGGTAGTGTCGTAGCCCGACGTCAAGGAGGTACACGGAAGAAAACAGCAACATCAGCAGAAATGGTTCGAAAAGTAAAGAAGCGACTTGATGGAAACCCGCGTCACAGTTGCCGAAAAATGGCTCATGAGCTGAACATATCGCAATATTTCATTCATTAAATATTGAAAAATGAGCTCAGGGTAAAACCATTGAAATTCCAAAAAGTGCAAGAACTTACACCGTAACAGAAAGAAAATAGACTCAAAAGAGCTAAAGAGTTGCTTCGTTTGGCCGAAGGGGGTGAACTGCCGAATTTGGGTTTCTCCAATGGGAAAACATTCGAAAGTGGTGAACTGCCGAATTTGGGTTTCTCCGATGAGAAAATATTCGTTGTCCAGCAGTTTGTGAACAAAGAAAATGATCGTATTTACATATCAAGGAGGTCAGCTGAAAATGTGCACCTTCGTTTGGCCACCAGAACTCAAGCGACCGTGGCATCAGAATAAATGCCTAATATTATCGCGAAAATATTCTGGAGGGTGTATCAAAGCCTCGGCACGCAAACATTTTGGCCGCAGACCTTGGACATTCCAACAGAGCACCTTCGCACTCAGCACGCGCCATCCAAGAATGGTTACAAAATGAGGTTCCTCGCTTTATTTCCAGTGCACAATGGCCACCAAAATCTCCGGATACCAATCCGTTGGACTACTTTGTCTGGAGTATTTTGGAAAGCAAGGTTGGCACTAAAATATACCAAAGTGTCGATCACCTCAAGCAAGCGTTTTGCCGAGAATG